TGAGCTGCGACCCCGGAGGACCAACACCCACCATCCCCACTGAGGCATCACTTTCTGCAGGGACGGACCAGCGCACTACTGACTCAATGAGGAGCACAATCGATGCTATGCTCTTGAGCGGCGGTTAGCTGCGACCCTGGAGGACCCGAGAGAATGACGACCGACCCACCATTTCATTGTCTTGAGCGGCGATCAGCTGCGGCCCTGAAGGAACCATTAACCACTTCTCCTGTGCCACGGGTGCGGGGCCAGACCGAGGGGAGGGGCGGTGTTCCCCCCGCCTCTCCCCTCTGGGGCCTGGCGGGTGTCCCCCGCTCTTGGCCCCAGGGCCCGCCAGACGCATTGTCCGACGTCGGGCGTGGCCCCCCCTCCCTGGGCCGCCCGTGCCCCTCGCTGTACGTGGTTTGTCTCATCACTCTCAGCGGCGATCAGCTGCGACCCTGGAGGACCACGTGGTGTCTGCTGCCGTTCCAGGAGCTTGGGCGGAAGTGCCAGCGGCGGGCTGGGTCTGATTTTGCGTCCGAGGGCCTTCGTGTCCACCGCCGCGCTGCTCCCCCCAGGCGCTTCGCCCCATGACATCGGCAAGTGCAGCTCCCACAGGCGCATCGCCCTATGGCATTGGCACGCCCCCTCGCACAGGCGCCACGTGCCCCGGGAGCACAGCCCGTTCTGTTATCTCGGGGATTCGCCTGCTCTGGTATAGTTTCGCCTTCAGGGCAACGCTGCCGTCAGTGCAGCTCCCTCTACTCTTCCCCGCTGGCGATGCTGTCCACGCCAGCTGGCTCCCCCCCCCACTCAGAGGCCTGACGCTTTGCCGGCACGCACTGCGAGGCTCACAGTCGCTCGGTTCCCCCTTGCGCTGTGGGGTGGTTTGACTGGTGTTGATTTCGCTACGGAGTGGTTCAGCCTTCAGCAGCAGGTACAGCATTCCAGGCTCACCTTCAACTTTCCCCAGTTGCGTTGCACCACGGCTCACGACTGCTCAGCCTTTCTGGCTAGCTTATCGTCCGGGCGTGTGGAGCCTAGCGCCCCACTGGCGACTCACTCCAATGGCCTCCCACTTGCTCCCACCCAGCACGACGGACTTGACCATCCTGGTTCACGTTACTGCTGCGTGGGTCGTGCCTCCACTCAGATTGGCGGGTTTGGTTATCCTGGCTCACGTTTCATACTGTGGCAGGCTCCGAATTCCATGACATGTTGTCTGTGCACGTGCTCGAGCTCGCAGGATACCCCCGCCGTCAGCTCCCCTTCAGCTTCGCGGCTGCTTTGTAAGCGGGCCAGCCGGCCTGTGCCTGCTGTAGCTAATTCGCCTCGCTCGTGTCCCGGACTTTGCTTCTCGCCGCCTGACCTTTGTCTCGCGACCGCGACCGAAAAAATATCCCCACCAGCCCGTCCAGACAATCGGAGGTTTTCGTGAGGCCTCTTGGAGGCTATCCTGAGCCATGCTCGGCAAGAGGCTGTCGGAGGCTATCCGGAGCCATGCTTAGCCACCCTGGGCCATCTTGAGGCTGCCTTGAGGCGTCTTGGAGGTCGGTCGGAGGCTGTTTTGAGCCATGCTCGACCTCCTGGGACCATCTTGGGGGTAGGAGGATGAAGAGGAAGAGAGGGAAGAAAAGAGAGAGAAGGAGGAGGAGGGGAAAGAAGAGGAAGAGGAGGAATGCGGCACGAGGAAGATGAGTTGGAGAAGGAGGAGGAGAAAGGAGGAGGCTGGAATGGAGGAGGGAAGGAACGGACGATGACAGCGAGAATGGGAAGTCGAGCTTCGGAGATATGCTGTGGTGAGAGCCTCTTGAAGGATGGCGAAGTCCATCTTGGGGCACTCCTGGGGTCCCGGGGGGGCCTTTGGGGCACTCTTGATGCCCTCGTGGTGTTCATTTTGAGGGTGCTGGAGCCCTCTTGGCGCTCATTGGAATGGTCCGGGGAGTTTCCTGGGCCCCCTGGCTCAAAAAGAGTGGGGTCTTCGATCCAGGTCCACAGGAGGAGGGAGAGGAGGAGGAGGAGGAGGAGGAGGCGGAGGAGGAGGAGGAGGAGGAGGAGGAGGGACGAGGAGGGACGAGGAGAGAGGAGGAGGAGGAGGAGGACGAGGAGGACGAGGAGGACGAGGAGGGAGGACGAGGAGGACGAGGAGGACGAGGAGGACGAGAGGAGAGGACGAGGAGGACGAGGAGGACGAGGAGGACGAGGAGGACGAGGAAGACGAGAAGGACGAGGAGGAGGAGGAGGAGGAGGAGGGGAGGAGGAGGAGGAGCAGGAGGAGGAGGAGGAGGAGGAGGAGGAGGAGGGGAGGAGGAGGGAGGAGGAGGAGGAGGGAGGGAGGGGAGGAGGAGGAGGAGGAGGAGGGAGGAGGAGGAGGAGGAGGAGGAGGAGGAGGAGGAGGAGGAGGGAGGGAGGGGAGGGAGGGGAGGGAGGAGGGAGGGAGGGAGGGGGGAGGGAGGGAGGGAGGAGGGAGGGAGGGAGGGAGGGGGGGGAGGGAGGGAGGGAAGGGAGGAGGGAGGGAGGGAGGAGAGGAGGAGGAGGGGAGGAGGAGGGGGAGAGGAGGAGGAGGAGGGAGGAGGAGGAGGAGGAGGGAGGAGGAGGAGGAGAGGAGGGGAGGAGGAGGAGGAGGAGGAGGAGGAGGAAGGAGGAGGAGGAGGAGGAGGAGGAGGAGGAGGAGAGGGAGGAGAGGAGGAGGAGGAGGAGGAGGAGGAGGAGGAGGAGGAGGAGGAGGAGGAGGGGGTGGAGGAGGAGGGGGTGGAGGAGGAGGAGGAGGAGGAGGAGGAGGAGGAGGAGGAGGAGGAGGAGGAGGAGGAGGAGGAGGACTCAAAAGTGGCGTCGTGGGGTCCGCTTGGGCCGCTGTTGGAGCGCTCTTGAGCGTTCGTGGGGGGCCCTCATGGGCCCATCTTGGGGCTATCGTGGGCTTCCGTGGGGCCATCTTCAAGCCTCAGGAGACCTTTGAACGCGAAAACGCGGGAAGGCAAAGCACGTGATTGTCCCTAGGTTGTTCAAGGATGTTGCCCCCCTTTGAAGGGTGCCCAGGAAGGCTTCAAGGGCACGTGGAGCCGTCTTGGGGCTGTCTTGGGGCGTCGTCGAGGTATGCAGGAGGCTATATTGAACCATCTTCGGCGGTCTTGAGCCATCTTGGAGGCGGTGCTGGCCTCTCTGATGCCCTCGGGCGCCAGCTGACGCTCTAACTTCCACGGGGTGGCCCGTCCGAACCCAGGGGAGATGGCAGGGGGAGGGGTAGATCCTCTCCCCGAGTAGGGGAAGGAGGGGCTTGCGCAGGGAGAAGTGCACGACACGACTCGTGAAGCCACCTGCGCCCAAGCGGCTGGTGGGACTCTGAAGATTGCGTGTATGTGAACGCACATGAGCGACCGTGTGCATGCGTGGATGGTGTGAGTAATTTGGCGCACGCGCGCGAGCGCGTGCAGATGGGCGAGCGAGGGAGGGAGAGAAAGAGCGAGGGAGAGAAAGAGCGAGAGAGAGAGAGAGAGGGAGGAAGAGCGAGACGGACAAACCGGCATACAGACAGCAATCCAGGCACCGATTCGGAGAGACAGAGAGAGGGAGAGACAGGTTCGGGAGGGTAGTTATACACACCTATATATATATATATATATATATATATATCCGTAAGGGCTTCGCCCCCTGCCGCCGGCCCCCTCTCTCGGAGAATGGGCCATGGAAGAGCTAAGTCATGAGGCCTTTGCGCTGTCGTGAAGCAGTATCGAAACTTCATGCGAAGCCGATTCGCAATCAGCAAAACCAACTGATCACAAGAGGGGTTACCACACCTGGCGATTGGTAAGACGTGTATGGTTTACGGGCTTGGTTACCACACCTTGCGATTAAAGGGCCGAGGGAGTTCTCGCAGTTTGGGTTACCACGCCTTGCGATGGATGTTCGTGAAGGGTGGCACCGAATTTCAGAAATGTGCCAAATCCCCTGTGTTTTTGGACCCTGACCCCGCGGATCTGCATGAGGGGTGGCACCGAATTTCAGAAATATGGCAAATCCCACGTGTTCTTGGACCCTGACCCCGCGGATCTGCGTGAGGGGTGGCACCGAATTTCAGAAATGTGGCAAATCCCCCGTGTTTTTGGACCCTGACCCCGAGGATCTGCATGAGGGGTGGCACCGAATTTCAGAAATGTAGCAAATCCCTTGTGTTTTTGGACCATGACCCCGAGGATCTGCGTGAGGGGTGGCACCGAATTTCAGAAGTGTTGCAAATCCCGTGTGTTTTTGGACCCTGACCCCGCGGATCTGCGTGAGGGGTGGCACCGAATTTCAGAAATATGGCAAATCCCCTATGTTTTTTGACCCTGACCCCGCGGATCTGCGTGAGGGGTGGCACCGAATTTCAGAAGTGTGGCAAATCCCCTGTGTTTTTGGACCCTGACCCCGCGGATCTGCGTGAGGGGTGTAGATTTCGAGCCCCCCCAGCAATTCAGACAACGCGCCCAGGGGGTGCTAAAAATCCCGTTTGGGCCTCCCCCCCCTCGCGCGGCTAATCAACTAGTTACAGCAACCAGCAATAAGTCAACTAGTTACAGTAACCAGCAAGAAGCAGAACTGTAACACTGGAAACTACAAGCTACAACTGGTACAGGAAACTGCGAACCTCGCGCCTACAGCCTGGTGGCCCCACAAGGGGGCCGGCGGATAGAGAGAGAGAGAGAGAGAACAACAACCAGATAAGAGAGAGAGAGAGAGAGCGAGAGAGGGAGGGAGGGAGAGGGGGAGAGAGAGAGAGAGAGAAGGATTGAGGAAGAGGGGGAGAGGGAGACACACGAGACAAGATACGATGCAAACGGATGCGAGGTACGATGGAGAGGGGGAAAGAGAGAGAGAGAGAGAGGACACACACACACACGCACAACAAAACGAGAGACGAGGGTCACAGCGAGAGAGTGATAATGACGAACGCCGAGAGAGAGAGAGAGAGAGAGCGAGAGAGAGAGAGAGAGAGGCAGATGGATGAGAAGTACGTGCGCACATTTAATCATATGACGGAGGCTGTGGAGATGAAGGCCACCCCTATGATCAACGTGGGGGCTCAGCTGGTGAAGGCTTGTTTCGACAGCATGTTCTTCGCCAGAAGTAGCCGCAGTAGTTTCAGATCGGGGCGAATCAGTCGACCACCCATGCGTACAGTGATGACCTATGAGACCACAGTTCGGGTAGTAAGAAGTTTGGGTAAGCAGCTTTCGCTCTGCCATTGGTTTCACGTCGGCTCGCATGCATCTCCATTCAAGACGCTTCGCGTTCGCTGCCGGCCCTTTCTAGGCCCCGCCGGACGAGCCGAAGTTGACCCCAAGACGGGCTGAACGCATGCCGAACGACGTCCAAGAGAACCCCACGGGAGGCGAAAACCCGCCCCGAGAGCACCCAGCATGGCCCAGAGGCCGCCCCAGGGGCCCTCCCAGGCGGGCCAACAGCGGCCTAAGCTAAAGATGTGCCCGAGGGCACGCAGGAGAGTTGTGAGACGGCCGAAGTGCCAGCACCGCACCCCCTTGTTGGGCCCGAGCCCGACCGACCTGCATCCATTCTCAGTTAGTCTCGGAGCCTTTCGCAAACGCATCCCAGATGGCAGGCAGAACGGTGCAGAAGTTCCCGTGCCAGTACCAACAGCTCCTCCGCAGGCGAGACCGATCGTTTGCTACAAGAGGCCCCCAGGCGAGCCCCGCGAGTCGGGACGCGAGGCAGTCCCCGCACCCTCTGGAGCGCTGGAACCAAGAAGATACGAATATATATATATATATATATATATATATATATAGAGATATGTGTGTATGTACAGCCAAGATGCTGAACTGTTGATTCTGGTTTCGGATTGGCTTTGGTCCAGGAGTGGCTCTAGTGTCTCCTCCCCTTTCCTCCTCCTCCTCCTCCTCCTCTTCCTCCTCCTCCTCCACAGCTCCATATGTTGGGAAGCGCCCGACCACTATATTTCAAGCTTCGCTCTGACGAGCGGTGCTAAACTCACGACAGGGACAATCGGCCCCGAATGATTTCGAATAGAATCGTATCCTCCTCAGCCCGAGTCCGAGGCTATTACAGGTTTTTGCCCTCATTACCTCATTCCGCGCACGACGCTTAGTGGCCATGCCAGCCACACCCGCAGAACAGCGTGATTAGTAGTCGGGTGCTAATCCTGGCCAAAGGAGAAGGAGGAGGTGGAGGAGGAGGAGGAGGAGGAGGAGAAGAAGGAGAAGAAGGAGGGGGCGAGGAGGGGGAGTAGGGGGAGGAGGAGGGAGGAGGAGGAGGAGGAGGGAGGAGGGAGGAGGAGGAGGAGGACTAGGACTAGGAGGAGGAGGAGGAGGAGGAGGAGGGGAGGGGGGAGGAGGGGGAGGGGAGGAGGAGGAGGAGGAGGAGGAGGAGGAGAGGAGAGGAGGAGGAGGAGGAGGAGGAGGGGGCAGGGAAGGAGGACGACGAGGGTGAGGAGGAGGAGGAGGAGAGGGGAGAGGAGGAGGAGGAGGGAGGAGGAGGGGGAGGAGGAGGGGGAGGAGGAGGAGGACACGCACATGGCTTGGGGGGTGTTCGATGTCCGCCGCGAGAAAGCGCGGCCGACTATGGAGGGCTTGGTGCCTCCTCTCCCTGGGTCTTGGCACGCTCCTCGCGCACCAGCTGGGCCAGGGGAATAGCGGGGGTCTTAAAAACGATCGGGGACGACTTTGTGCCCTTTGGATCTCGACCCTCTTGGACGCGGGCTAGCTGAGTGGCCGCTCCTTGGTGGCTCACTCTAGTGCTGCACGCACTAGCGAGCCCTCGACCCAACCCCCCAGAGAAGGATCCACACTTATGGCAAACCAATATACTCGTCGGGTGATCAAGGTGCTCGTAGTAAAACAAATCATGGCCTTTATTATCATGCACAAGATCGGAGAGTTGCTTACAGTGGCCTGGGCAATGCTGGGCCTGTAAGACTCCCCGCTGTTTGAAAGACTTGGTCTGCACTCTACACAGGATGCACCTGTGGTACTGATGGATGAGAGCCCACGTGTGGTACCTGAAGGGCTCTCTGGGCTCCTCGTGGGGCACAGGAGGAGGCGGAGGGGGGGGAGGCTCGACCGACGACGGCGGCGTCCACGACGAAAGGGCAGAGGCGGCACCCGAGGGGGGAGACAAACTCTTCTCTGGGGCGGCCAAGGCTTTGTTACGGTGAGGGGCGATCGCGGGCCACTCTCCCAGAGCCTGAGCAACATACTTCAAATATCGCACGAGAAACTTCCGACTGTCAGTGAAATCGCTTTTCTCTGCTTCACTGGGCTGCATTCCTTTAAGAGCGGCGGCCTTGGCAATCCGATCAGCAGCACTATTACCTTCGGCCAACCTTCTCTCTTCACTGCCTTCTGAGAGGGCCTGCAAATCTTGGTGGGCCTTGACCTTACGCAGGCGCTGGCCGAGGGGGAACTGGCCTCTGCCAGCCAACACCTTACACCCAGCCCACACGTTGTGCCGAGGGTACTCAGACCCTTGGTGCAGAGACAGAACTCCTTTATAATCAGAGTAAATGACTTCAACATCCCTAGACAGAATACTGGCCGCAACAGCGGCCAAATGCTCCGCGGCACCCGAGGTTTGTAAAAACATCTGGCCGTTTCGGCCACTGAAATGGGCAAAAGCTTCTCCGTTACGCATACAGACAACCGCGAAACCTGCGGCGTTGAAAACATAGTGACCGTGGTTAGTGCAACTACCATCCATATACACTTCCCCTTCGCTGAAAGCCTCCTGAGGGGTGATCCCCTCCTGAGCACACCAAAACTCCCCAAACTCCAGGCCAGAATCAGGAGGGTTCTCACCACGATACTCGGGGACCAGCTGGAAACCGAGATACTGGGGCAGGGTCTGGGGAGGAGGCTCTCTTAAATTCTGAAGCTCCGCTGCCGAGAAATGAGTGGCTCTGAGATTCTCTGTCTTCGGGCAGTAAAGTATGCGGTGGCCGAGGTTGTCCGAATGGTGGCCGCACTCGCAGCCAGTCTCGACTTCGTATCCTGCGGCCTTGGCTCTGTCCATAGTCCAAATACTCTGAGTGAGGAAGGCGAGGAGGGTTCCCTTCTGGTGGCCAAGGAGGTCTGGCGATGACAGAGCATCACGGGCAGCAACCACATCTAACTGGGCGTTCGGGTGGCCGATCTTCTCGGCAGCCTTGGAAGCGAGCTGGCCGTGCCAGTCGAACTCCATGAGCTTTTGGAGGGGGGCGGGGGAATGTCCTGGGAGAGGGCACTCAATGCCTGAGGAGGTCATAAAAGTAAATGGCCCCTGGAATTTCCAACCGATCCTTTTAAGCGAAAGCACCGCGGCGCTGAGGGGGCCCCTGGAGGAGTCCCAAGATTTTGCCACTCTTGGGAGGATGGCCTCAGCCCAAACACGCAACTGCTGGATACTGGTCACGGCAAGGTGGGGGCGGGTGGCGGCGTCCCAGGCAAGGCGGTGCCACGTAATGGCGGTGCCCAGGGCAGCTTTCCACAAGGGGTCCTTGAGGATGAGCAGGGCCAGGCTGCGGCTGCGCGTCGGGCAGCGGGGTCCCGCAGCAGCCAAAAACTGCGACCTAGCAGATTCCAACTGCGTGCCATTGACGCCAGTCACCTCGACTCCGAACGTGGTGGCCGCCTCGAGGCCAGTCCTATACAACTTATGAGTGTTACCCCCAGCTCTCTTGAGCATGCGAACCCTGTTAAGTCTTTTACGCATCTTATCAAGACGCTCCGAAATCTTACGCTGCTTTCTCCATCGGCGTTGGGGCCGTCCAGCCCCAGTTTCACAACCCAGGTTAGGTCCAGACCTGTCCGCGTTCGGGCCCGCCAGAGGCCCGAGAGCCGTCCTGAGTTGATTCTGAAGGGCTTGTTGGGACGCCAGGACCTGACTTTTCTTGCTGGCGATCTGGCACTTAAACTCATTGATGATGCAGTCTGCCATGGACCTGGCAGCAATATTGAGCTGGCGGGTGATGAGGCTGTAACTGCGGCCGTGGCACTGGAGCAGCAGATCATCTATAAACATCGCGAGCCTGATATGACAATGCGCCTGCGTCCACACGTCGAGCGGGGCGAGCACATACATTTGCACAAGATAGGTGGCCCAACTGCATCCTGCGGCAATGCCCCTTCAAGGCTTGCCTACACTGACTGCGCAATCTTGTAGTGCAACAGTGCGTTCACTGGCATATTGAGATATTATGATACGCAATAAACAACACGGAAAACCTGATTCAACAGCACGGTAAGCGAGACATGGCCGATCAACATGTTCGTAGTAGTTAGATAAATCGCAGAGAATTTGGGCACTATATTGTTGATCTTTGTCAGAGCTGTTGAACTCGCATTCCAAGGATTGTTTGTATACTAATTCCACTATGGAGTGACCAGCCTGATGAGCAAGGTACGGCCTGCGGTGGTGTGCCCCCCACTCTCTGGCCGCTGACCTCCTGAGCCTAGCCCAGACTCTGTGCAAAGCTGGAAGCATGCCAATGGACCTGAAAGAAGGCTGACTGGCTGGGGCATCATGCTGTTTCAACTTCATCATCAGAGTCGATACGATACCTTGGAGCTGGGTTGGCATATGTCCAATCTTTTCAAGCAGGCCAATACAATCGCAGACAATCTCTGCCTGTTCATTATTCAACATACTGAAATGCCCAGGGTGGAAACCGTCCCAGGTAGAGGCAGTGGCATGGGGTAAACTTTTCGCAACCTGTCGTAATCTCTTGGGGCTGATGGGGCCCAGGGCAATACGATCATCTCTGTCAGGAACGAGCTGTGGTGGGGTATCCGGGGAAACCTGCCATATTTTTGCCAGACGATCGGCTTCTGCCTGCAATCTATGCTGAGGCTTGCCAGAATACTGCGACTTAAATGGAACTGACGAGGGCCTCCAGGCCTCCAAACGCTTGGTCCATCTGTGAGCCCATCCCATTCCTCCCTTCATGTTGTCCTGAACCCAATCCCTCCATGCCTTCCCGTCTGCAGCGTTCTCTGCCGCCTGCTCCTGATACAGGAGCTTGGTGACGTGCTCTAGCAACTCGTCCAGAACCTGGATCGCCAGCGCCTGGTTCAGGGCACCAGCGCTGAAATCAACGTGCACCAAACCTGCAGCAACTCTAATCTCGCGCAGCCCCTCCTTGAGGGACGCGACGGCGGTGAACAGCTCAGGGCAATCCTCTAAGTTGTCGAGAGCGTCCTGAAACTCAGTGAGATTCCAGTCCTGAACACATCTATGGAAATCTTGAATCCTATTGATGAGCCATCTCAACGGGCCCGTGTAGGCCACCCGTTTAGCCCTACTCCTAGCAGCCTTGGCCTCAGCGGGGACCATAAGAACCTGAGGGGGGTGGGCCCTGGGGCACTTGCTAGGCTTGAGGGGGGTGTTAGTTTTCTTACTGATTGTAGCTTCCAAGTCCTGGGCCAAGCTGAAATACACGTGGTCCAGGAGCACCGACTGCTGTTGATCGCTGAGCGGCCGTCGAGCATCATCGATCAATAGTGAAGCGTACTCCAATGCAGCAGCTGGCTGGTGCCAACTCACTTCTGGCAATTGCGGGCCCACAGGGATACGTGTGGGTAGCTTCTGGGGCCTATGCAGCGTGGGGATATTAAAGTTATTCTCAACTACAATATCTAGCAGCACAGGTCTGTGAGGGGAGAGAGGATACGAGGAAAGAGTACGGGGGTTACTGAGCCACGGCGAGAGGCCTTGGCTAGACAGGAAATAATCTAGAGTGGATTTGGTCTTCTTGTTTCTGTAGGTGGCGGTCGGCGGCACAAGCAGGGTCATCGTGGACCTGGACAGAAACTCAGCTTGGGCCAACCGAGAGGGGGCCAGGTTAAAATCCCCCGCAACCAAAACTGGATGGGCCAAATCATCCTGAAGTTGGCCTATGGCGGCCAGAAGTTTTAAATAGGTCTCGGAGAGACCAGCAGCAGCCTGAAAATAGGTACTACATATGGCGAACTTCGGGACCCCAGGAAGTTCAAGCAGCACCCCCGATAATCGAGCGGGGTCGAAAGCGGCGGAAAAAGTGATCGGCTGGACCCCCAGGTCCAAGCCATCCCGAATCAAAATCGCAACTCCCGAAACCAACTCATTATTCTCACTCTTGGCTGCAGGCGTGATGTAAGCCAGCCACCCCTGGGCCGAGCACCATTGTATCTGACGCACAATGCTACCTCCGTCGGCAAGCTTACACTCCTGAGCACAGATGATCGTGACTGCACTAGACTGCGGCGAAAGAACAAACTTGCGAACAGCAGGCCAGCAAGATCCATTGATGGTAGCGATCTTATAAGTGTTACCCTGGCGACTTCTGGCCCTGGGCGGCCGCGAGCGCCGCAGCCTCGGCCGCCGCCTTGACTCTCTTGGTCTCGGGGCCTGACTCACTCTGGATCTTGGCCATGCCCTGGGCGACGTCGGACAGCGCAGCAGCCGCACGGCGGCGGCCTTCAGACGTGTCCATGGCCTGCGCCTCTGCCATGGTCTCCAGCTCCTTGTCGTCGGCAGGAGTGGGGACGAGCTGGCCTGGGATAGGCGCGGGCGTCTGACTTGCCTGGCCATCACCAGGGCTCTCTCCAACTGCAGGGAAACCGTCGATGATGACCCCGCGCGGAGCCGCCGCCGCAGGCGGGCCGCCACCTGCTGGCGCGCCCGAGGCCTGGGATGCGACGTGTTGCTGCTGCAAGGTGTCGAACGTGGCGGCCAGCTCCGATACTTTGTCTCGAAGTTCAGGTGGGGCCAGTCCTCCCTGTGGCATTCTGGCGGATATAACTCCCTGAATGGTGGTGAGCAAATCTTCAGCTTTGGATGCCTCATACGCAGCCGCCTGGGTGGCCGCATTGAGCTGCGTCTCCAGCGTCTGCACTTCTTTTGTATTAGCTTCGATCTCCTCGACCAGCTTGCCGTGATATTCACTTGCCTCGACAATTGTGGTAACCAGCTCGCTGGCCTCCTGCTTCTGCGACTGCAACCTCTGGCGCAACACCTGGAGCTGATCTGACAAGGACAGTGCTTGCTGCTCCAGGCTCTTGGCCGACAACGCCTGCGCCGTGGCGAACTTGAGCTTGCCCAACGCCGACTTGTGCTCCTCTCCATCTGGCTTCCACTTCTTCCAGAAGGTGACTTGAGCTTGAGCCAGGGCGACTGGGTCGTCAGCGGGAACTGCCAGAACTGCATCCTCGAAGGTGACCGCTCGGCCGCCTCCGCGCCCCAAGCCTGGTGGGCGCTCAGGACCGCGGGAGCCTTTCCTCCAGCGTCCTGGCTTGGCGGGCTCCTCCTCGACGTCAGGCCGAACATCCTGGGGGCCACCTCCACCACCTTGGGGTCGAGCTGGGGGACCGTGATCCCCGCCCTGCTTGAAACGGCTGCCACACTGCATACAATGACGAGAATTCGTCGAGCACCAAGCCCAGCCTTTGCAGCCCCGCTTCGAGCAGACCAGGTACTTCTTCTGCTGCTGGGCGGGCATCTCCTGATGGCGGCACGCTGGCGCACGCACACGAGAGGCCCTATGGCAGCACTGATGCGGGACGTGATTGTGCCTCTGCCTGGGGCTGACCAGGCAGGCACGGGGGCAGAGCAAACAAGCTTGGGCCCCAGCACCCAGGGCCTGCCCTGGATGGCAATGCTGAGACCTGCACCTCCCGCGGTGTGCTCAGGTCTTGAGCCAAGGGAGGAGGAGGAGGAGGAGGAGGAGGAGGAGGCAAAGTAGGAGGAGGAGGAGGAGGCAAAGGAGGAGGAGGCCGCGATCGCTCACGTGCGCACGGTCCACGCTGCGGCAGAAGCCAGTGCTGAAGTCGTCACGGCATGAATTAGCCGTGCAGTCAAAGAGCAGAGTAAGGATGAGCAATGTTCCAAGTTCGCCCTTGCATCCTTGCCCCATCCGGCCCATCCGTGGCAATTTCCGCTGGCCAGCCCCGTTCGAAAATCGTCAGCATGGCCTTCCAAGACCCTTTCGTGCTCACCGCGCATCCTCATGGTGCGTCTGATAGCACCTCGTGCCGCTCTCCGCGTCTCTGTATTCACAGGCCTGGTCGAGAAGGCCCTGGTCCGTGTGAATTCGACCGATCCAGTTCGACATCGATTGCGCCCAGCTCGATCTGATTCGAGTCCGACAGTCTGATGCTCGCGTGGCGTCGTTGTGCATCCTGGTGCGGCAGATCCAATCCAATTGCGGTTCCGTGCCGATGCGGGTCGATTCAATGTCCGTTCCGATCCAATCCGATGGCAGCGATCCCGCTGCGGGCGTTCAAGGTTGAACGCCCCCAGTGGCCCAGAATCGGCCAATATGAAACGATCTGGCGATCGAAGAGTTGCCGATCGTTCTAAGTTTAATGATCCACGCGGTATCAGAAACCAACACTGGAGTCGTCATGACACGAGCCTGCCGTAACCCAAACCCGCCGCGTAACCAGAACGCGGCATCTGCAGTTGCGCCCGTGGAACGGGCACGACACCCCCGCTCGGGGATGGAAAGAAAAGGCGGCCGCAAGACGGTGGCTAGCAAGACCAACGACGTTGCCGGCGACGGCACCACCACCGCCACCGTGCTGGCGCGCGCCATCTTCCGGGAGGGATGCAAGGCCGTGGCCGCCGGCATGAACCCCATGGACATCAAACGCGGCATGGACGCCGCGGTAAAGGTCGTGCTGGAGGAGAGCGGCCTCCCCGCCTCCTCACCGGGCGCGCTCTGGTATTCGCAAGGTGACTGCTCGCAAACGTTAGGGAAAACACGCGTTTGCCGCCTGGATGTGCCGAATCGCAGGTTCCCCGCGGCGGATCCAGGCCGTATTTGAAGAAGAACAAACGCCATAAACATAAACGTTTGGCGATCCGCGCGGATTTCTTGGATCCGCGCCGGGCCCCCCAGCGGCGCCTCCGGCGCCGCCCCTGGCGCGCTACGCGCGCCAGGGAGGGGGGTCCAGCGCAGATCCACGAAATTTGCGCGGAACGCCAAAAGTTTCTGTTCATGGCGGGCCAACCACCAAGTTTGGTTTGTTCCGCTTGCGGAGGCTATGCTTCAAGTTCGCAAGGCTCCATAGGGCTCCGAGTTGCCCGCGGCGGCTCCCAGCGGGCTCTGGTGGACCCTAGCATGATGAATACGAAGGCTGTTCTTATGGGCAAGCACCCTACTAACGGACCTCTCAAACTGGGCCCCTGGAGGACTCCCAGTGTGGCGGCTCGGGAGTTGGTGGATGGTCTCGGAAAAGTCCCAGGGGCCCAGAAGCGAGAGGCCCGCCACGGGCCAGATAGAGGCCCGCCTGTTTTTGTCTGCCCTGCTGACGTTCTCCAAGACTTTGGGCTAAGCGAGCTCGAAGCGCGAGCCCTTGGAGAAGGAGCGAGCGCCTTGAAGACCAGGGCCTCGGTACTGAGTCAGACGGCTGGTAAATCCTCGAGGGGGGCCCTGTCGCGGGCCATGGGCAGGTCTTTGGGTCCTGCTTGTGGTCGACAAAAGTCCACTTGGATGGGCCCCCCTGGGAGGAAGAGTGGACGGACGATCGAACTTCTCTCTCCTCCCCCTTTCTTCTCTCTCTCCTCCCCCTTTCCCTTTCCCCCTTCTCTCTCCTCGTCCTCCTCCTCCTCCTCCTCCTCCTCCTTCTCCTCCTCCTCCTCCATCTCCTCCATCTTCTCCATATCCTCCTCCTCCTCCTCCTCCTCCTCCTCCTCCTCCCCTGCCCCTCCTCCTCCTCCTCCTCCTCCTCCTCCTCCTCCTCCTCGGGTCGCCTACCGCCCCAGGGATAACCGTGCACCCCCCGCGGGCTTGCTGAGAAGTCCCCTGTGCCCAGGGAGGAAGGCCCCGGGCCTTCCGAGCCTTGTGAGAACGCCCACAGCCCGCTGCCGGAGCAGCAGGCAAGCGGACACAACGAGAGCCCAGACAACCCACCCATAGCGAACCACAGACGCCCACAACGAAGCGCAGACACCCACAACGAATCACCGACGCCCACAACGAGAACCCAGACAACACACCCGCAACGAAACAGAGCTTGAGAGCACCCGCAGCCCGCCCACAACGAAACACAGGCACAACTGATCGTCGACTCCCAAGAAGTTCTGAAAGCACGGGGAGTGGAGGGGAGCACGAACACCCCGGAAAAAAGGAGGGTCATGTGGGGAATACTGGGAGTTGGGTTGATGTATTGCGAAGGCCTTACGGCCGGTGCCGCCGACCCTGAGATCGACGAAGATGAAAACGAGGGGGGGGGGCAGGGGGAGGAGGATGAGTGGGCGGTAGAGGAAGTTTAGGACTCTGTTGGAGGCTTCTTGGGGCGTCTCGGGGCGATCTTGGGGGCCTATGGGGTTGTCTTGAAGCTTCGGGGCGCGAAAGAGACGAGAGCGCAAGAATCTGTGGAAAACGGACGAGAATCGAAGGATTTTGCTTGTTTGGGCCTTCGTGGGGTAGCGCCTGGAGGCATTTCGCGCCGTCTTGCAGGCCTATGGGGCCGTCCAGAGGCTGCGAAGGCGTCTTGCACAGATCGTTCGGCGATTCAACGTTTTCTTGAACTGTCTTGGGGGGTATAACCAATCTGTGTCCCCAATCCGTAGGCGTGTGAGGACACCACGGAGCTCGAAGAGCTGCGGCGACCGTTGTGTGGCGGTCCCCACTGATGATACGCAACACATGCAATTACGTAAGTATGTAATGTAATCCCACATATATGTAGACAGTGTAACTGGAGAATAGAAGACACCAGCCCAAAGAAGAACTGAAGTACAACATAAACCAATTGATGACACATGTGATCCAAATAATAACCAATGAGAACGGTTATGAACCATGGTCGGAGGAATTGGGTGCCTGTGGTTTCTTGTGTCGGTGGTCCAGTGCACGCTGCCGCATGCTTGCCATAGCCAACACCATTTTTGTCCAAGTGGTCGTGGTCCTCCTGGTGAGGTCCTGCGTCGGCCAGCCCAGCCGGCGGGTGAGGTCAGCCGTTGGTACCGCGATACCCTGCCGAAGGTCGGCGTTGGCTGTGCACACCCACTACATGTGGTCGAGCGTCGGGACGCGCTGCTCACCGCAGTGGTCGCAGGTGGTCGAGACCTCCTCGCCTTGGTTGGACTGCGGCAGGGCGTCCGAGACCACGCAGCCGCAGAGGACGGCGGCGATGTGTGAGGCGAGGATTGGGTTAGCTTTCCGTGCTTCCTGTGCCGCGCGCGCGGCAGCAGTTGGGAAGGGCACTCCGGCCGCCGTGGGGCTCTCCCGCCGGTTCTGGCCTTGTAGGATTGCCCATTCGTGGGATCGGAGTATGAGTCGTAGTTCGTGGAGCTGTCAGTCTGTTTTGTCGGTAAGTCGAAGCTCTCCCGCCGGGCCTCTCCAGAAGCCGTCGTCGCTGCGCTCTGCTCCAAGCGATGCCAAGTGCGTTTGGCAGGCGTGGAGTGGCCCCCGCGTGTCGGTCTTGATCGTGATCTTGTCCCAAAGCGCAAGTGCTCCAGGCCCCTGTCGACGTAGTCTGCTGTTCAGAAGTTGTAGTGCTCGCGGGCACAAGTGGTACCGTAGGTCGGCGCTATGCCCCATTACTACCAGTCAAATTAGTTCGGGAGCTGCCCCGGGCCATTTCCGCAGGGTCACAGCCCTTCGTGTTTGTCGTAGATGGTCCTGGATAGCTCCTTTTGTCGGTGGCGTCACCACTAGTGCCCAGCTCGACACCGGCAGCGCGATGGTGCTCACCGCGGTCGTGCGCAGCCGCATGTTCAGGGTCAGGCACGCAATCCGCTTCATGCGGGCAAGTGCCTCTTCAAGCTTGCCTCGCTCTCTGGTCGTGAGCGTCGTGCGTTGCATCGCGAAGTCGATTCCGAGGCATTTCATCTTCTTGATCTGCAGGTGGTGGTTGTCACACTGTACACTGGTGCGGTAGCATCGTGAAGGACTGCGTCTTGCTGTCGTTGGTGCGCAGCGCGGTGACCGACTCCAGCAGCTCCCACTCCTCCTCGATGCTCCGTAGTTCTTCTGCCTCTGTCGTGGCCGCCGTGCGGTCGTCCGCGAAGGTGCAAAATGTTGCTCGTGGGTGCAGAGCAGCTTGCCGTCGTAGCGGCCCCATGAGCAGGGCGGTCATCCCGAGCATGGCTGCCGGATCCCCTTGTGGCAGATTGTCTTCAATAAGAATTGTCCGTGGTGTTAAAAGTATCGGGCAATCTTCGCTCGCCCAGAGGCCTTTTTGAGCTCTGGGGCCCGCCCCTGAAAGGGAGCCGCGACGGCGGCGGCGGCGGCTGCAGCGACGACAACGCTGATGTGGGTTGGGTCCTCAGGGGTGCTTCTTGGGGTCTCTTCCGAGCGCCCTCGAAGGCTTCTGGGGGGCAGTTTGGGGGCCCTTTGGGAGCCTCTTGGGGCTGAGGGCTCGAAATGTCCGTTCGGGTCCCCCGTCTGGGCACTCTCCTGGAGCCATCTTGGAGGCCTCTTGGGCCGTCTTGGAGGCGTCTTGGGCCGTCCTGGGGCCCTCTTCGGCCGTAAAGGGACCCTTTTGGGGACCTCTTGGGCCGTCTCGGGGCGATCTTGGGACCTCTTGGGCCGTCTTGGCGCGTCGGGAAGCTTAAGATGCAAGAGCGCCAGAATCTTGAAACAACACGCATGGGAAATCCACGATTTTTGCTTCTTGGGGCTCTCGTGGGAAAGCTCCTGGAGGCCTCTTGGGGCGCTTTGCAGGCCTCTGGGGGCCGTCGAGGCGTCTTGGACAGATCGTTCGGCGGTTCGGGGTTCTCTTGGACTGTCTTTGGGGCCTCTTGGGGCGCGCTTGGCCCGTCTTTTTTGGGCCCCGGGACTCCCTGGGGGGGCGTCGCATTTGACCCCCCCCCCCCGGGCCCTTCCCCGGGCCCCCCCCCCCGGCGGGGGAGGGGTCGAAGGGAAGGGGCGCCCCTTCGATTCCATTACGACGTTGCTCAACTTCGCTTTGGCTGGCGCGCTGAGGAGGTCACTGGGAAAGGGGCGGGCTTCGACGAGTCCAGGGAAAGGGCGGGGCAGGGAAAGGCGACGACAGAGACGACGACCGACGAATGCCGGAGATGACGACTTGAACGGACAAGCCCCTCACACACGCCGACAGGGTCGGCGGATTTGAGAGCATGTGTGTGTGCGCGCGTGCGCGCGCGCGTGCGCTTGTGCGCGCGTGCGCGCGCCCGTGCGCGTGTGCGCGTGCGCGCGTGGGCGCGTGCGCGCGCGTGCGCGCGTGCGCGTGCGTGCGCGCGTGCGCATGTGCGCTCGTGCGCGTGTGCGCGTGTGCGCGAGTGCGCGTGCGCGCGCGCGCGTGCGCGTGTGCGCGCGTGCGCGTGCGCGCGCGTGCGCGCGTGCGCGTGTGCGCGTGCGCGTGCGTGTGCGCGTGTGCGCGTGTGCGCGCGTGCGCGTGTGCGCGCGTGCGCGCGCGCGCGCGTGCGCGTGCGCGCGCGTTGCGTGTGCGCGTGCATGCGCGTGTGCGCGTGTGTGTGTGTGCGTGTGTGTGTGTGTGTGTGTGTGTGTGTGTGTGCGTGTGCGTGTGCGTGCGCGTGCGTGTGCGTGTGCGTGTGCGTGTGCGTGTGCGTGCGCGTGTGCGCGTGCGTGCGCGTGTGCGTGCGCTTGTGAGCGATCGCGCGCGCGCGCGCGCGCGCGTGCATGCGCGGGCGCGGGCGCGGGCGCGGGCGCAAGCGCCAGCGCCAGCGCCAGTGCCAGTGCCAGTGCCAGCGC